AGGGCCCAATCTACTTACCCCAGAGAGAGAAGCCTGTGGGTCGGAGAGGATGATTATTTTTATTAATGTTTACATTTTCACATTTTTGCCTAGTTGAGGACCCTTCACATAAACTCTAAGTCCTTTCAAAATGACTCCAGTTGTCTTTAAGAACTTCCTTAAGCTACCTTAAAAAGACTTTGCTCTGCAGTGATAGTCCAGTATTATTTATTTTCTCTCCCAAACCCAGATCGACCCGTTTCTCTAAAAAGCCCTGATTCTTTGTACTTGGATGTATGTTTGCAGGAACAGGAAGAGTGACAAGAAAGCTCACTCTGATTGTGCTACCTAAGTGTGTGTGCATACACCAACGTGTGATGTTGTATGTTAACAGAACATGTAAAATGCCAAACATTTGAAGAATATGTAACACAGAATTAAAATGCAGGAATTTATTTGACTCTATGATTAGCTATTAAACATTTTGAAGGCAGTCTCTGAACCTTTACAAATTATTTCTTCTTGAAGTTTTTTGAGAATTTCATACTTAAGTACTGTACTTGCATTATTCCCCCTTCCCAGTCCCCCTCCAACTCCTCTCATGTCCCCCACTGTCCCTTATAATTTCGTGTCCTCTTTTTTATTATAGTACATAAACATGCATATATTCATAAATATATACATATATACTATAGTGCACTGAGTCCATTTAGTGGTACTGACTGTGTTTAGGGCTGCTCATTTGGAATTAGGATAATTTCTCAGTAAGCTAGTTCCTGGAGAAAACTGATTCGCCCTCCCTCAGTATCCCACTGATTGTTTGTGACTCTTCATCTTCGGGTAGGAGCCCATGAAATTTTCCCCATTCAAATTGGCATGTTGATTGTTTTTGTCAATATGAAGACTACTATACTGTGGAGATTTCATGGCTATATCTTCCCTTTCATATCTAGAATGCATTAACTAACAGTAGGTGTCTTGTCTCTTTGGCTCTTATAATTTTTCTGCCCCCTCTTCCAGGATGTTTCCTGAGTCTTAGGTGCAGAGGTTGCATTGTAGATGTATCACTTAGGGCCAGGAACCTCACACTCACTTATTCTCTGCATTTGGCCAGTTGTGGAACTTTGTAATAGTTTCCATCTGTTGCAAGAAGAAGCTTCTTGGATGAGTAGTGAGAGCTACACTTATCTGTGAATATAAGGATGCACATAAAGATATGTGTTTAAAATATAGTAAGAAATTGCATTGGTCTAGGAAAGGGACAGAAGTAGGCTCTTTTCTAGGGTCTATAAACTCTACAAGCATGTATATATGGCTATGATTACAGTACCATGTACTGATTCCTTCTTCCTGTCTGGGCCTTAAATCTAATTAGACAGCTGTTGATTACTCCCAAGATAAAAGTGCCACTCTTGTACCAGTAGAGATACTTTGCTGGAATGTTCATTGTTGTGGTTCATAGGTCTTATAGCTGGGAAGTAACACTGATTGGTTTTCTCCTCTGGCAGTTTACATAGTACCTTCTGACACTATGACAGCTAGTCTTTGAGGAGGAGGCTTCAAGGTAATTTGTAGCTCAGTTGTTTTAAGGCCTGTGTCCAAAGTATGTCTTATTTTCAGCAATAGAGTCTTAACTTCAAGTTCTATGAGACAATCAAGGGCTGTGGCAATAGCCTATATTATTTTTCAAGTCTCTTGGACCACTTTGACCAACAACTCGAAGGGAGGTTTCCCTTGCCTTGCCCTGTGATTTTTGCTATATAACCTTCAGTTATACATGTACTAAAATATTATGTGTATTGTTCAGTAGGCTTATGATATAATGTATTTCCCTTTGGTTTTTCATACCACTTAAGTATTATTCATCTCTCTTCCCTCTCTCTCACCCTGTATAGTCATTCTGTCTCATCCTGGTTAGAGTAACTACCATTTTCACCATTTTCCCCTTGTTAACTCCTGTGTCCCATTGTCCCCCTCTTTGGAGCTCCTTCTTCCCCTCCCCTGCCCCATGGTTCCTTTCTTTTTTTTCCCCGGCTTTTATAGTCTTTTTGAATAGCCATGTGTAGGGATGACTTTTCTGGGAATGGCTTCTGTTACAAATGGGAATTTTACCTAACCTTTTAACCAAAATTTTTCTTATATTTTGAGATCATTTAGCAGCATCTATTCAATCTGCCTTCCTACTGTGTAATCATCTTACTTAAATCTAGCTGCCCTTTAGGAAAACACTATAAACAATCTTGCTAGGCCTTTGAATTTTCTAGCAATCAGCTTTTACAAAGCCAAGCTAAAAAAATAGCTTTAATCTTGGATCCTGTTCCCCATTTCTCCCTCATGACCCTTCCTTGCCCCTGGCCCAGAATAATGTGTGTATGTGTATGTTGTGAAAATATTGGTGTTGAAAGCAGTGACTTAGAAAGCAACAAATTATCCACAGTTTGTATTGCAAACAACAGGTAGGATTAGACTGATAATATCTATTTGTAGTTGTGTGTGCTGTTCTGGGTTAGCAGGGGTCAGAAAGAGAAAACCCTTCCTTGATAAGACAAAGTTGCTCATTTCTTTCCAGTGTTATGCTGGATATACTGCTTAAAGAAAGAAAGAACCTCCATGGTTGGAAGAACAGTTTTGAGAGAACTCAGAAGAAACAAGCTCTGAGAACAGATCAGGCTCACTATTGGTTTTAAACTACTCCAACTTTCAGGCTGCCTCTGTTCAGGCAGCACTGCTCTGTGCCATCTCTACCATAGCCATCTGCCCTGCAAATATAGTATTTAAAAATCTTTCCTTTCTAGGATATATTTGTGTAAGTTATTATTTCCTAAGTTTATTACAAAAATTTATAGAAAATATAATAGTGATTTTAACCTTTGTTTTCCCATATGTGTTGGGAATAATTTTAGTGGTTTACCATTGAGTCTTCCCATGGTTTCTAATATTCTTTATCAAACTGATAATGCTTCCTTTTATCCCTGGCTTTAATAATAACTGTTATCCGTAATGTATGCTGACCTTTATAAAATTCTTTTTATTTATAGTTATAATTTAAATCGTTTTTTTTTTCTGGTCCCGGGGGTTGAACCCAGGGCCCCATGCTTCCTAGGCAGATGCTATACCGCTGACCTACATGCCAGCCTTACCTTTTTTGTATTCATTGAAATTATCATCTTTTTAACTTCTTTGATTTCTTAATGTAATCCAGAACCTTAATGTATTTCTTAGTGCTAAATCAGCCATTAATTTTTAGAACAAGTTTTATTTAATCATATCGTACAATTAGTTTGAGTTCTGGAACTGATTTGCTTTGCATCATATCAATACCAACATTTTAATCTATAATCCTAATTAAAATTGACTCATCTGTATTTGTTTCTATACTACCATTGTTTGTTGAGAATATTAGAGTTACGCTGGTTCTAAAATCCTGATTGACATATTTTCAGTCTTCCTTCCTTAACTTACTGGAATTTAACTGTTTGCTTAAGGTCTTCCAAAACTCTTAGAGTAAAATTTGTGAGCCCTAATGCTTTTCTTTTTCCATTAAAATTTATTTCAGCTATAATTTTTCTAATTTAAAATTTTAATGTAAGGGTCTGGAGAGATGGCTCAGTGGTTAAGAGCACTGGCTGCTCTTGCAGAAGACCCAGGTTTGATTCCCAGCACCCAGATGATGGCTAATGACCATCCATAACTCCAGTTCCAGGGGATCCAATGTCCTCTTCTGACCTCTGGAGGCATTGCATGACACAAGTGTACTTACGTACATGAATACAATATACTCACACACATAAAATAACAATAATAAAATATTTTTACAATATAAATTTAAATAAAATTGCATGTATACTACACATATTATATAAAATCAAATTTTCATTATGGAAAATTAAAAGAAAAACATAAACTACTGTTCCCTAACTCACTGCCCCATTTTCTCAGTCTTTCTCAGAAGCCATCAATGTCAATGGTTTGGTGGAAACTCCCCTCACATTTAAAGGATTAAAGAGCTGAAATCCCATTCTAATATTTACTAATGAGCAATTACCCTCTGCATTATATCCTTTTACATGCATTCACTCTCATTTTTGCATTTACAGACAGTGTACTGTGACATGCATGTAATATAATACAGTATGTATTGTTGTAAATTATAGATACACAAGAATGCAATACTGAACCCCATGCATTCTGTCATGGAATTATACCATATCTATTTTTAAAATTATGGTAAAATATACAGTTTGTCATTCTATTCCTTTTTAGAAGTGTGTGTGTGTGTATGTGTGTGTGTGCACATACATGTGGGGGTGTGTGCACATACATGTGTTTGCATGCATGTAGAAGACAGAGAATAACTTCCAAGGTCATCTGCCTCCTTTGTAACAGGGTTTCTCATTGGCCTAGAGCTCACCAAGTCAGGCTAGGCTCAAAAACCAGTGCACCCCAAGGATCCTCTCTACCTCCCCAGCTCTGGGATTTTAAGCACATGCCACTATGCTTGGAATTGCTTTGTGAGTGATAGGGATTAAACTCAGATCCTTGTACTTTCAAGACAAGTGCTTGATCGATTGAGCCATCCCCAGTCTGCCCATCCCCCTACTGTTTTAACCATTTTTATATGATTCAGGGGAGCCATCATCACCATATATATCTAGAAATTTATTTATCGTGCAAAACAGAAACTCTACCTTCTTAGCACAAACTGTATTTCCCCTTTCCCCACACCTGTAGTCACAACTGTTCAACTTTCTGCTATATGAACTTGTCTATTCTAGGTACCTCATATGAGTGGAATAGCACTGTATCCTTTTGTGATAGGCTTAATAGTTAATAATATAGTTTTTCATGATGGAGTAATCTGTTAGAATTTCCTTCCTTCCTTTTTAAGGCTGAATAGCATTCATCTGTAGATGCACACTTGCCTCTGCCTTTGTAAATGCCACGGTTTTGATTGGCTGACTCATTTTCAGGGGTCTTTAACCCATGTTTTTTTGCTATATTTGTCTTATGTTCTTTCCTAGGAGAAGAAAATGTAATTGCTGTTCCTCTGGGAAGTCGAAGTGTGAGAATTACTGTGAAAGGACCTGCCCGTCTCTGTAAGTGGAATTTCACCTTAGTTTTTAAAATAGTTTCCTGAACGCAACAACTGATAAACAAAAAGTCTATTTCTTGTGTTCATGGTGGGAGTTTTTGTTCAGTATTCTGAAGCAATCCATAGTCTAGAAATTTTTTTTAGATCATGAATTTTTCTGTTCTCATGGAAAGTGGAAAGGATTTCAGTTTGGACTTAAACTTTCTGTGAGACAGAAAATCAAGTCATATGTGAAATAAGGTATTGGTACAAGGATTTAAGGGTCTTCTGGAGATATCAGAAGTTCGGAACTAAAAGAAAAACAAATGTTTGAAATAGAGAACTTCATTAATGACCCCAGCTGATCTGGAAGGACAAGCTTTGTTGCTGGTTCATCAATCCAGTCCAGGGGTCCTTGAAGACCAGCAAGTGCTTTCTCAAGAACACTACGAGCAGTTAACAGACCTCTGTGCTTTTGTGTTTCTTTGGCCAATGTCAGATGTCATCTCTTGCCTTAGGACCCACAGGAGCTGGCAATTACACAGGTTTTCCCCTTCTCTGCCAGGGTATCCCTGTGGCCTCAGGTAACTACTTCCTTCGCTGTATCCAGAAGAAAGTACTTCTTAGCCAGTCTAGACCCTGGACTTGAAGAAACTTATTGGGCGTATGGGTGTAACCAGCTCCACCCACACAGAGCTCTAACCACTGCTGTGAAGCCACAGTCAGGACCTGCTGAATCAAAATGCTCTATAGTTGCCTTTTTTTTTTCTAGGCCACCATGTTAGATTTTTTCCATCATGAAAACTTCTCAGAGCCAGAAGTATCTCACATTTTGGATAGCACACACGTGTGTGTTTCATATCCTAAACTAATATTTTAGCTGCAAACATCCTTTGAGAAAAGTTTATAACAATATTGTTCTAGTTGGTTTCTCCATTGCTGTGACAAAACATTCTGACCAATACCAACTTGGGGAGGAAAGGGTTTATTTTGTCTTACATCTCCCAGGTCACAGTTTATCAGGGAGCCCAAGGCAGGAACTCACTGCAGGAACCTGGAGGCAGGAGCTGGAGCACAGGCCATGGAGGAATGCTGCTTACTGGCTTGCTCCTCTGGCCCATGCTCAGCCTGCTTTCTTATGCAACACAGGCCCACCTGCCCAGGGGTGGCACCACCCACAGTAGCCTGGGCCCTCCAACATCACTCAGTAGTCAAGAAGATGCCCCACAGACATGGCCACAGGCCAGTCCAATGGGGGCAATTCCCCAATTGAGGCTCCCTTAAGGGGGACTGTGTGTGTCAAGTTGACGCTAAAGCTGTCCAGCACAAATATATTTATATTAAAATATTTTGAGTCACCATCAGATCAAAATCTTTGTGTGTATGTATCTGTCTCTCTGTCTCTCTGTCTCTGTCTCTCTGTCTCTCTCTCTGCCTCTCTCTCTGTCTCTCTCTGTTTGTGTGTGTGTGTGTTCATGCCCGAATGTTGCGATTGAATGTTGAAGGCAGAGTAGATGTTAGAGGTCTTCCTCATTCTCCCTCTACCTTATTTTTTTGAGGCAGAGTCTCTTAGTAGACCTGGAGTACATAGCAGGCCCCAGCGATCTACCTGTCTCCACTGTCCCAACACTGGTCTTACAGGTATCTGGCTTTTTTATGTGGGTGATGGGGATCCAACTCAGGTCCTCATGATTTTGTGGCAAGCACTTTATTGACTGAGCCATCTCTCTAGCCCTCAGACTAAAATCTTGGAGAAAAAAAGAAATTCTACAGTGAATTGTGATTTAAACTAGGGTAGCAAGGCTTTCTTTGCAGAGAAACATCAAAATTTTTAAAAACTTACTCTCTACATGGCATGAAAATCTTCAGCACTTGATGGAAACAATTATTCCTTTTTGTACATGGAAGCTTGATAGTTAGAAACAGGTAAAAAAAATCATCCCAATTCAATTTTGTAAATCATTTCAGCAGTAAAATGATGAGACTTCATTTAGACTAAAACTATAAAGGACACCAGGCATGGTGATGCATGCCTGTAATTCCCACACTTGGGAGCTAGACTCAGGAGGATTCGGTGTTCAAGGCCAGCCTGGGCTGTGTGAGACCATGTATGCACTCAGATGTGTGTACATCCAATATACATAAGTAGGTGCTGAATAATATTCATAGCGTTTTTCATGTTGGTCATCAAATGTAAACAAAGCAGAGATCCATGCTCTGCTCAATTAATAAATGGACATATGTAGAATATTATTTGAGGATAAGAGATAGAATTCTCACACATGCCTGCCTTAATATAGATGATCTCTGGAATATTATGCCTCAGTGAAAGAAGCCAGCCACAAAGGGCCACCTGTCACCTGATTCTATTTAGATGAAATATCCAGACAGAGAAATCCACAGAGATGGAAACTAGATGGTGTCTGCTAAGTATGAAATTTCATTTGGGGTGACAAAAATATTGTGAGCTTAGCCCATGGTGAAGATCCCGAGTGCCACTACATGATAAAATTATATATTTTATATGGTGATTGGGGCTGGGACTACAGTTCAATAGTAGATGGTCTAGCATGTGAAAGGCCTTAGGTTCAATACCCAGCACTGCAAAAACAGACAGATAACATATGAATTTTATGGCATGTCAATTAAATATAACACATGAATTTTATGGCATGTCAATTAAATATTTTAAAAATGTTTAAAAGACTTTTTTTTTTAAATGCAGTGTTCTAATGATACTTAAAGGCAACGTCCCAAAATTCAGCTTTGAAAGATTTTGTTGTTTTGAGACTAGGTCTGACTCTGTACTTTAGGTGGGCTTGGAACTCACTATGTAGCTCAGGCTGGCCAGTCCTCCTGCCTTATCCTCCTGAGTGCTGGGTCTACTGACATGAGCCAGACTTTTTTTAGTTATAAAAGCAGAATAAGCCAGCAGCAAACAGAACAAGTAAAGATGAAAACCGTGGGGAGAACTTCATTTGTGAACACATGCTGGCACAGGAAACATGACTTTGTACTCAGACTGGTGAGACTGGCTCTCTGCCTGAGGACCAGGGTCCAGAAAGGCTCCCACTTCTCCAAGTGACAGACCCATTGCTTGGAATTTTCCCCTTCCGAACAGCCTCTCACTTGGCTCTGCAAGTCTTTCTGAAAGTTACCCTTCTCTGCTGGCTTCCTTTGCAAAGGATTTAGTTTACATGTTTAAATACAGAAGGGGCTTTATTTTCTTGATTTATATAGCCATTTCATATACTTTTTATTTGCAAAAATAAGATATACTTCTGAAATCAAGCTGATTTTGCAGCAATAACTCATTCTTTCAAGATCTGTGTTTATTACAACCTTCCAAATGACTGCATTATTGAAAACTGAGAACGCTTGGTACCGTTAATTTCAGGTCTCTGTTGTGGGATGGAATTTAATTATAGAATGTCTGACTTACATGCTGCCTAGAGCTGTTTAGATCTGCATTTCTCGCCCTGTTTTACTCCTGGCTGCATTATTATAGGGAACACACAGCCCCAGATTTTCCAGTACTGTGAATCCCTCCGAAAATGGAAGCAATAAAAAGGTCCCTGCAAAAGAAATTTAACTGTAGGAAAACTTCAGCATTAAATATGTTTGACTAGTTGGCAAGATGGGCCAGAGGGTAAAGGTTCTTGCCATGAAGCCTGGTAACTTGAGTTCGAGCCCCAAGACCCAGATGGTAATAGGACAGAGCCAACTCCTGAAAATTGTCCTCTGACCTCCACACCCATGTTATGGCACCCCTCCCCCAATTAAATAAATAAATAAATAAATAATAAATAAATAATAAATAATAAATAAATAAAGTAATTTAAAAGTTAAGGGACTAGAGAGATGGCTCAGTGGTTAACAGCACTTGCTGCTTTTCCAGACGACCCAAGTTTGGTTCCCAGCATCCACTCTGAGTGTCTCACAACCACCTATAACTACAGCTCCAGGGGATCCAACACCCTCTTTTAGCCTCTGTGGTGACTGCACTCATGTGGCAGACATTCACATATATACACACATACACATAAATAGAAGTAAAATAAATCTTAAAAACTTTTATTAATAAAAATATGTTTTCCTAACAACAAACTGAGAGGCCAAGATGCCATAGGATGAGGCCTCTATCAACTGCTTCTGTTGGGTCCTTTTTTCAAGATGACTAAAGACTGCTGCGAGGGCTGGAAGATTATTTGGTCAGTAAAGTGCTTGTCTTGCAAACATGAGGACCTGAATCTGATCCTCAGAGCCCATGTAAAAAGTGTTAATCACGGTGATGATGTATGCTTGCAATCATAGCACCAGGGAGGCAGAGATAAGGGGATTCCAGGGTCTCCTTGTCCAGTAAACCTAGCCTAATTGGTGAGTTCCAAACCAATGAGAGGTCCTATCTCAAAAAGCAGGTTGGATTGCTCCCAAGGAACAGCACTCAAGGCTACCTGAGGCTTCCATACACACACACACACACACACGCACACACACCACACCGCACACACATGCACACACACATGACTGCTGCAACATACTGGGACCCAGTATATGTTTCAGAGTAGAGATGGACGAGGGAGGCTGTACACACTGAATCCCAAGGCATGAGTTAGAGGAGCTGGGTCCAGGAGCTCAGGACACACAGCTCTGTGGTTTTTATTGCATCTCTCAAGCTCAGGCCAGTTCTGCTCAGATAGTCAACCAAACACAAGAAAGGAGTGAAAAGAAATTGTTAGCTAAAACTAACCGTGGACAAACATTTTTCTGTAGGAGGTTTTTAAGGTACTTCTGATCTTATAAAAACAAATTAGAACATAAGGTCGGCATACACGAGGGCTTTGTGCTGACCCAGTGGCTCTACGTTTTGTTTGTGGTTCTGTGTGATAGAGCGGTACGTGTTTTATCATCAATTCCTGGGTTTGCTATTGTGTCATAGATTTGTAACCAATGGACAAGACCAGATGTAATAACATAGAAATTCTCTGTATAGTTTTTGCTATTTCTTATGAATCTATAATTTCAAGAGATAATATTTTAAAGCAAATATGAGATTCTTTCTTCTGAGAAGCATAAATTAAGAAAAGTTTTCTCTTTACTCTGTGATAGAAAGGGCTCCAAAGACTTGAGTAGACCAATTTGAGTCAAACTGTCCTTGTTAATGCCTTATTATGAGCAACTAAAAACTTGAATTACCAGTTATGCCAATGTAAATAAACATTCATCAGCTGAGTGTATATTTTTCATAATGTGTTGATAGCATATGTTGTACTTAGTAAAAATGTTATTAGAAGTCAAATGTCTGTAGGATAGTTTTCATATTTAATTTTTATTTTTTAAATTTTAGTTATTGAATCAAAAACACTTCAAGGAAGCAGAGGAGAACACAGCTTCAGCAGCCCTGGGATCTTTGTTGTAGAAAACACAACAATTGAGTTTCAGAAAGGTGCAGAGAGGCAAACCTTTAAGATTCCAGGACCTCTGATGGCTGATTTCATCTTCAAGGTAGGTGGACCATCTTCAGAGCATCCTGATGTTAAACATAATAAGCTTGTTAATCAGAAAGCCATCAATGATTGTTTTTATAGAGTGTGTATTAGTATTTCCATCTGAACACAGTTCATTTCTGAGAATTTCTCCTGTCTTTCAAGTAGAGAGACCTTGAGAGTTAAGAAACAACCTTTATTCTTACATGGAAGGGGGAAGATAATTTCATATTCATCACCTCCACTTGCCCTGCTCAGTTTAAATCTCCAAATGGAGTTTGGTGGAGATGGTCAATGGTTAAACAAGCCATCATGGGGAGGAAGAGCAGAGGACAGAGGCTCAGTCCTTTGTCAGGGATTGTCCCTGCCACCCTGTGAGTGTGCTGTGCTGCAACAGCTGATTCAAGGTCAGGGAATTCTTCCCTGGGCCTCAATAGATGAGGAGCCCTGCCAGAGGATTCTTTCAAATGTATCTTCTCCAAAGTCATGAGCCTATCTTTCTCTCTAGATAGAGTTAAACCATCTTCCCTTATACAAAGGAAAAGAGTCTAGGGGCCAATCTATTTCCAAAATGATGCAAGTTAAAACTCATAAATATGTGGGCTAGAGAGGTGGCTCAGCGGTTAAGAACACAGACTGTTTTTGTAGAAGACCCAGGTTCGAATCCCAGCACCCATATAGCAGCTAACAACTGTCCTTAACTCCAGTTCCAGAGGATCTGACAGCCTCTTCTGTTCTCTGTGAGCATTGCACAACATGGGTGCACTTATCTACATGCAGGCAATACATGCATACACATAAGAATATAAAAATAATTAACTATTAAAAAAAACCAAATGCTGGGTGTGGTGGCTCATGCCTTTAATCTTAGCGCTTGGGAGGCAGAGGCAGGCAGATTTTTGTGAGTTTGAGGCCAGCCTGGTCTATATAGTGAGTTCCAGGACAGCTGGGGCTACAGGGAGACCCTGTGTCAAAAAGACAAAAACAAACAAACAAACAACAAAAAATCTCATATATATGAAAGGCCCAAGAAATCAAAAGAAAATGATAATCTAGTGGGTGGATTTTTCCTCTCATTCCAGAAAAATTATTCCAAAATTTAGACAGAAGAAAAAAATTACCTTAATTGCCAATGACAGCTTTCTGAAGGGAGACTGTATTAGTGACTTTCCCGGTTGCTACAACAAAATCCTCCACAAAAGCAACTTAAGGGGGCTGGAGAGATGGCTCAGTCATTGGGAGTTGTCACTGACTGCTCTTGCAAAGGACCTGGATTCGATTCCCAGCACCCACATGGCAGCTAACAACTGCCTGTAACTCTAGTTCTAGGGGATCTGACACCCTCCTCTGACCTCCATGGGCATTGCAAGACATGGGTACACTTATGCACATGCAGACAATACACTCATACAGACAATACACTTATACACATAAAATAAAAATAATACCTTTTTTTAAAAAGCAACTTAGGGAAGGGTTTAGTTTGGCTCACAGTTAAAGAGGACAATCCATCATGGTGGGGAAGTAATGGTGACAGTAATGTGAGGCAGCTGGTCATAATGCAACCACAGTCATGAAGCAGAGAGAGATGAATGCTGGTGCTCAGCTCATTTCTCCTTTAAAAAATATTTTATTTGTTATTTTTATTTTATGTGTATGAGTGTATTGCCTGCATGTAGGTAAGTGCACCCATGTCATGCAACGCACTCAGATGACAGAAGAGTCTGTCAGATCCCCTGGAACAGGGGTTACAGATGGTTGTTAGCTGCCATGTGGGTGCTGGGATTCGAACCCAGGTCTTCTGCAAGAACAGCCAGTGTTCTTAACTGCTGAGCCATCTCTCTAGCCCTTTGTTTCTCCTTTTTATTTCATCTGGGACCCACATTTTGGTGGCTTTTTCTATCTTGATTAGCTCAATCTAGAAAATCCTTCATAGACATGCCCAGGGGTTTGTCCTCTAGGTGATTCTAGATCTGGTCAATATTAACTATCACACACAAAAAAACCTAAAACCTTAAAAAAAACCTGCTTGTGTTCAGCATATTTTCAATGAATTTTTTGTTGAGAAATTGGTTGTGCTACCAGAGAGCGATGTGAGGAGGGAGATTAAATCTGTTAACTGATCTGAATTCTTCAGGTCCTGCTCCAGCTTGCATTGTGACCAGCCAAAGGTCAGCCTGCTGCACCTGCATGGCTTAGTTTTATTTTTGAGGCTTTAGAATGTAAATGGTTATGATGATTAGTGTTGTCAACTTGATAGATTCCAGAATCACCTGGAATATATCTTTCTAGACCTCCCTGTGGGAGATTGTCTTGATTACGTTTGAGGTAGAAGACTCGCCTACTGTAGGTGGAACGATTCCCTGGCCAGGATCCTGGACTGTGGATGTGGAGAAAGGGAACTGAGCAGCAGCATCCATTCATGCCTCTCTCCTTGCTGATTGTGGATGTGATGTGACCATTAGTCTTGACCTGCCATCTTGTCTTGACCACTGTCAAGAGCTCTGGAATGTACTCTGTACTCTGGAATGTGTTCCAGGATAAACCCTTTCTTCTTTAAGTCACTTTTGTCAGAGTATTTTATCACAGCAATAGGAAAAAAAATAGGATGATGATCAATACTGAAAAATGAAGATATTAAAAATGTCAGTTGTTTTTTCCCCAATTCGCTTTAAAACTGGAGGAGCTCTGCCAGCTAGCTGGTTTGTTATATCCCAAGCGTGTGGCAGCTTCCCTTTCCTTTGCCACTGTCCACACCTTCCACTATTACATCTCCAACATTACAGGAGGAGGGGTCTGTTGCCATTCATGCTGCTCCAGGTCTTTATGCCATCTTCCTGGCTTCTATAGGTGTCTGTGACTTCTGTGTGCGAAGCTGAGAGCACTGACCCAAAGTTCTTCTCTGACAGCCACACTGAAAGATGTTGGAGGGATCCTGGTAGACCTGTCTTCTTTCCTCTGGCCCATGGCCATGGCATGAATGCTATGCTTGCTTTGTTTTCTTTGAAGTGTTCCTGTTTGATCCTGAAGTTGTAGATGTAGGAATGCACGCGCGCACACACACACACAGAGAGAGAGAGAGAGAGAGAGAGAGAGAGAGAGAGAGAGAGAAAGAGAAAGAGAGTCTTTTTTTCTCTTTTATTTGCTAAGAAAATCCATATTCTTCTTAAGTCAATATAGAGGACTCTGGTTGAGCTAGAGACAGTGATGCAAAGATAGCTTGGCAGGAAACACCCACAAAGTTTAATACTTCAAGATATTGGTTGCAGTATCAACATGGATAGAGCTGAAGGAGAGCTTGATACTATGTATGAAAGCACTCATACTCATAAACTACATATTTCTTTGTGTGGGTGCACCTGTGGACTTATGTGTGTGGAGGCCAGATGGCAACTGCAAGTGTTGCCTTTTATGATCTTATCTGTTCTTTGAGACAGAATCTCTCACTACGACCCGAGACTCATTGAACAGGTTAGGCCGGCTGTCCTGGGAACTTCAGGGATCCTCCTGTCCTTTTTCTTTAGCACTAGGATTATAAGTATGTGCCATCATGCCCAGCGTTTTTTAATTTTTAAATGTGAGTGCTGGGTGGCAAATTCAGGTCCTTAAGCTTATATGGCAGAAACTTTACTGACTGAGCTATCTTACCAGGCCAGAAACTATTCCTATGAGCTATGTATGTATACATGCACACTCACATATGTAGAGCACATCTGAAAGTGAAAACCACAGTGATTATCACAGAAGGGAAAGTGGCCCTAGGTTCACTTATATGATTATTAAAGAAATATTTTAAATAATACATTCATGTCTCACTTGCACAAATAAAGATTATTTCAAACCTTCTTGTGTAAACATGTATTCACCTCTTTATAGTGCATTTTAACAGCATGCTCTCCACAGTCTGACACTTCTCCTTTCTGTGACTACTGGCTCTCTCAAACTGATTAAATAGCTCTGGATTTCAACTTCAATGTCTGGAAAGCTTTCGAGTGCTCAAGTCTGAGAAGGTTGTTTAAAAATATATTTATCAAAGAAGGTATTACACACAACTAGCTCATGTATAACAGAATGTCAGTTCCATGCCCGCAGCCATTTTCTTTCATCACTGTGGTATGCTGGGTAGGAGGGGATCTGGCAGAGTTGGAGACACTTGCAGGAAGTAAAAATGACTCTGGTCATTTTCTCCTGACTTGGGAGCTTCTTCAAATAATGTGGGTTTCCAGGAAATACCCTTTTCCATCAGCTACTTTTTAAATTTCTTTTTGGTTCAGAGCAGTGTGCTATTGCCCAGCTGGGCTGTTGCCGAGGTAAAGAACTCTTTGACTCCATTCACAACTTCCTGAACCATCACATAATCAAGCAATGACTGTACTTTACATAGAGGAATGGGAAAAATACCTGTGGGGTGACTGGTGCCTGTGCCCCTGGGTCTCATTATACGTACCTCTTTCCATTCCAGTCAACTGAGAACAGCGGGTCTAAGAATGCCTTTCACCTGAGAGAGGACTCTGAGACAGGGCAGCCCAGGACACGTACTCCATGTTACTGTCAGCACAGCTATGGGCCTACTGGACTATGTTGAAACATGTCTTTCATAGTGGATATCATAGACCTTATGAGTTGAGCTGTTAAAATGAACTGTTGAAAACTACTCTTTTTTACGTAAAAAGTGTATAGTCATCAGTAGTACGTTAGATTGTCTTATTCCTCAAGTTCAGAAATGTAGCAGTTTACTAAACCAAAAAGGAAAATTCTTCCACTTTCATAACTAGATTGTCCTAGAAAATTGTGCCTTTTTTACTTTCCAGGGGATTTCTCTATATATAATTTTATTTTTCCAAACAATGATTTGTAATGATGTTCCTGCCTCCCTGCCTCAGCTCTGTTGTGTTGGGGGCATTTTACACTAGAGCATGTGAGGTATTGCTTTGCTCCTTCGATATGTGCGTGTGGCCACCAGCGGGCAGGATAGAGTCTTGACCAAGTCACTGAGGTTTGGGGTGGTTCCAGATTACA